ATACAGCCATACAAACGTACATACACACCTACATATGCATACATACAGATATGCATGCATACATACATACATACATACATACATACACACATACACACATACATACACATACATACATACATACATACATACGCAAACATACATACATACATACATACATACATGCATACACACAAACTTACGTACACATATGTGTACACACATGTGCACATACATATTCACATACATCCATCCATCCATACACACATACATACATGCATACATGCAGACACACATACACACATGCATACATACATACATGCATGCACGCATACAGACATACACACACATACATACATACCTACATACATACATACATCGGTGTCTGTCTTCATGTATACATATATGTGTATCGATCTGCATATACATATGCGTATATATATATATATGTATATATCCAGGTCTATCTATCTATCTATATATATATATCTATCCATCTATATATCTATCTATATATATCTATCTATCTATATGTATATATAGATATGTATATATATCTATCTATCTATCTATCTATCTATCTATCTATATATCTATCTATCTATATATCTATCTATCTATCTATCTATCTATCTATCTATCTATCTATCACAGAGCGCGTTCTGTGGTCGCTTGGAGGGTGGTGGTGGAACCAGACCCCCCCCCCTGGATGGAGGGGGGGGAAGGGTTCGAACCCCCCCCCTCTCCCGTGACCGAGGGAGGGGGTGTTCGACCCCCCCCCCCTCCCTCTCTTCCCGCTCCTCTTCTACTTCTCCTCTCGGCCGGCGCCTGCGTCGGCGGCGGCTGGCGGCGGCAGCGGGGACGACGACTTCCTTTTCTGGGCCAGCGCCGGCGCCTGCGGCGGTGAGCGGCGGCGGCGGGGAGCGTCGACGAGGACGAGGGCGACGACGATGACGACGACGACGACGCTCCGCCACCGTGCTTTGGTTTTGGGTCAGAGTCCTAATGGATGCCTCTTGGGGTCTCGTCGGAGGGCTCTCGGGGGCCTCTGAAGGGCATTTGTGCAGCCTCCTGGGCGCCTGTGTTGGTGTGGTGGTTTGTCGTGGTGGTGGTGGTAGTGGTTGTGGTGGTGGTGAAAGTGGTGGTGGTGCTGGTGGCGGTGGTGGTGGTTGTGGTGCTGGTGGTGGTAGTGGTTTGTTGCGGTGGTGGTGGTTGTGGTGGTGGTGGTGTTTAGTGGTGGTGGTGGTGTGGTGGTTTGTGGTGGTGGTCGGTTGTGGTGGTGGTGGTGGCGGTGGTGGTGGTTGTGGTGGTGGTGGTGGTTTGTTGTGTTGGTGGTGGTTGTGGTGGTTTGTTGTGGTGGTGGCGGTTTTTGTGGTGGTTTGGTGGTGGTGTGGTGGGTTTTCGTGGTTGTGGTGGTTGTGGTGGTGGTTGTGGTGGTTTTTGGGGTGGTGATTTGGTGGTGGTTGTGGTGGTGGTTTGTGGTGGTGGTGGGTTGTGGTGGTGGCGGTGGTTTGTAGAGGTGGTGCTGGTGGTTGACGTGGCGGTGGTGGTGGTGGTGTGGTGGTTTGTAGTTGTGGTGGTGGTGGGTTGCGCTGCTGGTAGTGGTGGTGGTTGTGGCGGTGGTGGTGGTGGTGTGGTAGATTGTGGTTTGGTGGTTTGTGGTAGTGGTGGTGGGTTTTGTGATGGTAGTGGTGATGGTGAGTTGTGATGGTGGTGGTGGTTGTGGTGGTGGTGGTTGTGTGGTGGTGGTTGTGGTGGTTGTGTGATGGGTTGGTGATGGTGGTGGGTTGAGGTGGTGGTGGTGGTGGTGGTGGTGGTAGTGGCGGTGGTGGTGGTAGTGGTGGTAATCGTCGCTGCCTCCCTGCCGTCGGCGCTGCTGGCTGGGGGGGGTGGTTTTTGGACCCCCCCCCATCTTGCGCTGCCTCTGGTCATCGTCGCTGTGTCCCTGCCGTCGGCGCTGCTGGCTGCCGCCAGCGCCGGCGCCGGCGCCGGCGCCGAGGGGTGGGTGGGGGGGGTTTGAGCCCCCCCCTCCGGGAGAGGGAGGGGGGGGGGGGTTCGGCAGGGGGGGGTTAAGGGGGGAGGGGAGTCCCCCTTGTTCTAATCGACAGCGCCGAGTGTTGGGGGGGGGCCACCCCCCGGCAGTTCGAAACGCGCCGCCAAATGTTGCCAAGGCAAGCGCCCGTGAAACGCGCTCTCCCAGATGTGAGTATACAACGTTGAGAGGAAGAGAGAGCGAGAGAGAACAACAAAAACAAAAGAGAGAACGAGAGAGAGAGAGAACAAACAAACAGAGAAATAGTTACGGAACTCGCATAGCCGAAAATAGCCAGCCACGCCAAAGTAGGGCGGAAGGAGGGCCGACAGCAGAGAGTGTCTGTGGAGGCAACAACACCAGGTCGCGGACTTGCGCGCACGTGCAAGCAGTGGTCGAGCGGGATGCGGTCGTCTCAGTGATCCCTCCTCCTGCTCGCCATCTCAGATTCCTACATGTCTTTCTTGCGCTCCTCCTTTTGCCCTCTCGTTCTGAAGAGCAGGACGCAGACGAACTGTCTGATTGATGAACTGTACCCCAGGGGGGGGGGCCCTGTCGCGGACCTTGGGCGGGTCTTCGGCCTTCCTGCCCTCGGTTGACAAAGGTTCTCTCCGATGGGCCCCCCTGGGGCAGTAGCGGATTTTGGGCTTCTTTCCCCTTTCCTTCCCCCTCAGTGGCGTGCGATCCTTTTGCCCTCTCCTTTCCCGCCTCCTGCGCCTGCGGCGCCCCACCCCGGCACTCGTCCATCGCCGAAGCCTTCCCTTTTACACGTGCCAAGTTCGCATCCGGCGGGCGGCACAGAGAGGCGGTAGGAGGAGGATGAGACGGGGGAGAGGAGGGGGGAGAGAGAAGGGGAACGAGGAGGAGGAGGAGGGGGACGACGAGGAGGACGAGGAGGAAGATGATCAGAGGATCGGAGGATTGGAGGATGAGGAGGAGGAAGAGGAGGAGGAGGAGGAGGAGGAGGAGGAGGAAGAGAAGGAGGAGGAGGGGGAGGGAGGAGGAGGACGAGGAGGAGGACCTGATGGACTCCTGGCTCAGATCCTATGCCGCCCCTAGGGATCTGATGGACTCCGGGTTCAGATTTTGGGTCCTTTTTCGAGGGAATTGATGGACGCCGGGTTCAGATTCTCGGCCCGTCCCAGGAAAAGGAAGGATTCTGCCCCCCCCCCCAGAGATCTGATGGACTCCCAGTTCAGATGCTTGACTCCCGGTCTAGATTCTGGACCCTTTCCCAAAGGCCCGATGGATTCCCATTTCAGATCTTGGGCACCTTTCCAACCGATCTGATTGACTCTGGGTTCAGATGCTGGGTCCTCCAAAGGATCTGATGGACTCCCAGTTCAGATATTGCGCCAATCCGAGAGATTCCGCTGACTCTCGGTTCAGATTCTGGCCCCTTGCGATCTGTGGTCGCTTGGAGGGGGTGGGGTGGAACCGGCCCCCCCCCCCTGCCCTGGATGGAGGGGGGGGTTCGAACCGCCCCCCTCCCTCCCTTCCCGCTCCTCCCCTACTTCTTCTCTCTCCCTCTCCTCGGGCCGGCGCATGCGTCGGCGGCGGCTGGCAGCGGCGGCGGGGACGACGACTTCTTTTTCTGGGGCGACGCACCCTCCTGCGGCAGCGGGCGGCGGCGGCGGGGAGCGTCGACGAGGACGACGACGATGACGATGACGACGACTCTTCGCCACCGTGCCTTGGTTTTGGGTCAGAGTCCTAATTAATGGATGCCTCTTGGGGTCTCGTCGGAGGGCTCTCGGGGGCCTCTGACGAGCATTTGTGCAGCTTCCTGGGCGCCTCTTGGGCGTCTCCTGGAGCCTCTCTGAGGTGGAGGTGGTTGTGGGTGGTGGTGGTGGTGGGCTGTGGTGGTGGTCGTGGTGGTGGTGGTTGTGGCGGTGGTGGTGGTGGTGGTGGTGGCATGGTTGGTGGTGGTGGTGGTGGTTGTGGTGGCAGGTTGTGGTGATGGTGGCGGCCGTGGTGGTGGTGCGGTGGTTTCTGGTGGTGGTTGTGGTAATTGTGGCGGTTGTGGGTTAGGGTGCTAATGGCGATGGCGGTGGTGGTGGTGGTGGTGGTTTGGTGGTGGTGGTTGTTGGTTGGTGGTGGTTGTGGCGGTGGTGGTGGTGGTGGTGTGGTTGGTGTTGGTTGTGGTGGTTGTTGTGGTGGTTGTGGTGGCAGGTCGTGGTGGTGGTGGTGATGGTGGCGGTGGTGGTGGTGGTGGTGCGGTGGTTTCTGGTGGTGGTGGTAGTTGTGGCGGTGTTGCGTTAAGGTGGTGGTGGCGGTGGCGGTGGTGGTGTGTTGGTTTGTCGTGGTTGTGGTGGTGGTGGGCGTGGTTGTGGTGGTGGTGATGGGTTGTTGTGGTGGTGGTTGCGGTTCTGGTGGTGGTGGTGGTTTGTTGCAGTGGTGGTGGTTGTGGTGGTGGTGGTGGTGGTGGTGGTGTGTTGGTGGTGGTGGTTGGTTGTGGTGGTGGTGGTGGCGGTGGTGGTGGTTGTGGTGGTGGTGGTGTGGTGGTTTGTTGTGGTGGTGGTGGTTGTGTTGGTGGGTGGTGGTGGTGGTGGTGCTGGTGGTGGTTTGGTGGTGGTGGTCCTGGTTTGGTGGTGGTGGTGGTGGTAGTGGTGGTAAATCGTCGCTGCGTCCCCGCCGTCGGCGCTGCTGGCCGCCGCCAGCGCCGGCGCTGGCGCCGGCGTGGTCATCGTCGCTGCGTCCCCGCCGTCGGCGCTGCTGGCGGCCGCCAGCGCCGGCGCCGGCGATGGCGCCGAAGGGGGGAGGGGGGGGGTCGGAAGGGGGTGGTGTTAGGGGGGAGGGGAGTCCCCCTGGTTCTACTCGACGGCGCCGAGGGTTGGGGGGCCCACCCCCCGGTTTGAAACGCGCCGCCGGATGCTCCCAAGTCGAGCGCCCGTGAAACGCGCTCTCTCCCACCCATCAACTAAACTATCCATCTATCGATTTCTCCATTTATCTTTATACATAGATATAGAGCCCCTTGTCCGGGCAGGTCGCAGGTCAACCCGTTGTTCCCGCAGGAGCAGCTGGAGGTGCTGAAGGCCCGCCCCCCACCAACCCTCAAGAATTGAGCAGGATGGTCGAGCAGGAGGAGGGTGGATGAGGATGGGGATGAGGATGAGGAGGAGGAGGGAGAGGAGGAGCAGGAGGAGGGAGGATGAGGAGCAGGAGGAGGGAAACGGGCGGCGGAGGAAAAGGAAAATATGAGGAGGAAGAGAAGGAGGCGAGGCGGAAGCAGGAACAGGAAGAGGACGAAGGAGGGATGATGGTGTTGGTGGGTATAACGATGGTGATGGTGACGCTGATGTTGTTGATGATGATGGTTTTGATGGTGGTGCTGATGTTGATGTTGATGATGATCATGATGAATACGGGTCTGTCTCGGGTTATGAATATGATTATGGATATGCTTCGGTGGCTGGTTGTGTTGATGATGGCGAGGAGGAGGATCGAGGCACAGCTTCGTCCTCAGGGGGCTCGTTTGGGGTCTGTTTGGCGTCCCGCTTTCCGAGGTCGTCGAATTTACGGACAGGAAAGTAAGACGGGCCAAGATGCGCTATGGCAGGGGTCCACGGACCAGTTTTCATTGGATTATGGACGGACGAGGAGGAAGAGGACGGGGAGGAGGATGAGGGAGAATGCGGAGGGAGGAGGACGAGAGAGGAGATGAAAGAGAAGGAGGATCGATGAGAGATGCTTATGGGCAGGATCGATGATGGGGAAGAACTTCGCTCTGGATGGGGATGGTCATGGTGGTGATGCGGATGAGGATAGTGCTGATGATAATGCTGCTGATGTTGATGACGATGCTCATGATGATAGTAATGATCGTAGGACTCGGATTGTGATGGTGCTTGTGGTGGTCATGCTGACTATGATGGTGAGGATGCTGATGATGAGGGTGATCGTGATGGCGATGGCGATGGTGATGGTGATGGTGGTGATGCTGGTGGTGACGCTGATTATGATGGCGGTATATGTGCAGGAAGGGTGCGATCAGGATGCCCGCGTGCGCCAGCACGAAGGCGTCTCGTCTTCCCTGCCCAACGTCTGTGGCCTTTTTGGGGCTCGGGAGCTCGGCCGCTGCTGAGTAACGGCTGGGCGCTGCAGCTGGCCTTTGGACATGCGCCCTCGACGCCGCGCCGCGGCGGAGCGAGAAGTCGGCCGCCGCGCGGTCGCGCAGGTGGGAGTTAAAAGGGGGCCGGGGCGGAAGACCGCGGAGGAAGGGCGGAAACGCGTGACACCGCTCCGTACGATCTTCCGGGGCGGGGGCCAGGCCGCCAGGCCGGCAGACTCACCCTCTCGCCGAACTTGCAGTCGGGCGAAGAGTGCGGGCAAAAAGGTCCGAGGAACACACGTGACCTTTAAGATCTCTTGAGGTCGTCGCCAAAATGAAATTGACGCCCTTGGTCCAGGAGGCCGGCGGTACGCGCATTTTCGTGGGTGGGTGGCCACGTTGTCGCGACCAACCCAGTCACGTGCCACTTTTGTGAGGAAGGGCACGGCTTCGTATCGTTCTTCGTCTTGGCCTACGAGAGCGGTGGGATCCCGCGGTTCTGGAACATCAGTTCGGTCGTCGCACGCGAGCACGTTGCCAAGGCCATGGGCGGCAAATGCCCGAGGACGTTGAGCAACTGAGTTCCGGACCCCTTGCTCCCGCGCCACTGCGTGCGCCCGCGTTGCAAGACGGCCCCCTCCCAGGCCGAAGGGGCGGGCGCGCTGCGTGGTTCCGACGCAGGTGAACGAGCCGGGGGGCGCCGCCACCGGGGGCCATTGGAGGTGCGTGAGCTAGAGGCGCGGCCGCCGGTGGTCAGAGGAGGGCGCCGACGCATGGGGGCACCGCGTCGCCATCTTCCCGTCGCGCTCCATCGTCGCGAAGGCCGGCACATGGATGGGCCGGCGACATGGAGGCGAGGCCGATCGAGCTGCCCCAGGAGCATTGTCCGGAGGACTAGGCGGGGATGATTAACTTCGGCCCCAGGGCCCCAGGGCAGGAGGGCGCCCTGACGGCCCTGAGGACGGCCGAGCTGGCGTCCGCCATCAACGCAGCGAGATCGGAAGATATCAAAGGGCGGGCCGTTTGAGAAGGAGCTCGGCGCAGTTGCGGGCGCCATCGACTCCAGCAACGAATGGGGCCCACAAGGAGCCCATCAAGTACGTGGCCGCGGTTTCGGCGGATGGGGGCCACCGAGGACGCGCGCAAGGACTTGGGCGTTCGCTCCCACTGGGGGGGCGGCCACCTCTCGCAGGACAACTCCACGGGCAACTTTCGCGCCTTCCGCCCGCCCGAGACGCGGTCGGGCGATCGATCGCTTGCCCCCTTTCTTCAGCATCTCGGGCCCCGCGGGCTCGGGGGCCATGGCGGGCCAGAAGAATGGGCGGCTCGCGAAGCCGCGTCCGCAGGGCGGGGCGCCGCGCGGCCCTTCGGGGCGGGGGCCCCCGCCGCGGGCGGGGAGGGGGGGGGGCCCTTGACTGTGGGGGTTTGTCATCGCGGAGGGGGTGGGTCGGGCCCGCGTTGCCCGCGCGGGCCCAACTCTCGGCGCGGCGCAGCCGTGGCCGCTTCAACGGCGGGGAAGGTCCTCTGCGGCGGCAGGAGGTGCCGTCTCGCGACCCCGTCCGTGGCCGCGTTTCCCTGGGGCCGCTTGCGCCCGCGCCCCGCCCCGCCGCCGCCGCCGGGCAGCGCCGTTCGGCGATTGCGTCGCGGCGTTGCCTCCGCAGGTCCGCGGGCACCTCGCCGCGCAGGGGCTGGGCGACGCCGCGCTGGTCGTGGACGGCGTCTCGCCGCAGAGAGCCAGCGAGCGAAAGCGAGCCGGGGCGCCTACAAGCTGGGCAACGCCGTTCTCGGCTCCCTCCCAGCGGGCGCCGACGAGCTGGTCGGCCGGCTCGCGCTCGCGCCGCGTCAGGCCAGCCAATCCCCCGCCGGCGCGGCCAATGCGGCGGCCGCCCTTCTCGACGGCGCCGGTGGAATCCAGCGCGAGGGCCCCCGCCTCGCCCGCGCCAGGCGCCTCCGCGATCCGGCGACCGAGCAGGAATTCGAGAGCGTCGACCGAGCCCAGCAGCCACCCTGCGCCCCGCCACCCCGCAGAGCGCGGCGCCCTGGGCTCGCGCGCCGGGACGCCATCCCCTGGCGCGGGTGCGCCGCGGCGGCGCCGCCGCGGCAGCCCGGCGCGCCCCGCGGGCTTGGCAGAGCCGCAACGCAACAGCAGCTCACCGTCACGCCGCCCAGCACATCGAACAGGCGCGGGGCCATGCGAGCGGCCAACCAGCGGCCGCGTGGGCGGAGCCCCCGACCGCGCCCTTGGCGGCCCCCATCCGCAGCGCGCTACTTTGGGCACGTGGCTGCCCCGATTGCGAGCAGTGGGTCGTCGGGCGGGCGTACTACTGGAAGCGCGTCTAGGGCTTCCTCGCGGACGCGACGCGTGCTTGGCGAGCGGGCCTATCCTCGCACGTCCGCGACGCGCTGCCGCCGGGGTGCAGCGGGCCGCTGCGCCGAAAGCTACTCCTGGCATCGGGGCACGACGACGCCGCTGTATTCGCCGGCATCGTGGCAGGCTTTCGCATGAGGGGTGTCCTACCCGACGCGCAGCTTTCTGAGAAAACAGATGGCGACGACCTGCCCGGCGCCGCTGCGTTGGGCCGCGCGCTCGAGCGCGCGCTCACTAGCAAGGGCGCCGCGCGGCTGGAGATGCCCCAGAACTCCACGCTCGAACCGGACATGGCCAAAGTGCTGCGTGTGGCGCGGGGGGAATGCGCAACGGGCAAGCTTGACGGCCCGTGGGAGGCGTGGATCGGCACCGATGGGCGCGTGAACTCCGCTGTGCCCTTCGCCCAGCGGCCGCCGACCGACGCGCCGCTTCCCCCGCGTTCATGGCCACGCCGCCACCTTTCAACGTGCGCCTTATCGACGGCGCGACGGCGAGCGGCCTCTACCTCGCCGCGGCCGCCCAGGAGCGCGCGCGCATGGCCGGCCTGCCCTCGCTCCTCGACGCCGCGCCCTTCAAATCCGAGAACTTCCGCGACTTGGGCGACGACGGGGCCCCGCTCGTCGCGAAGGGGGGCCGCGCCCAAGCGCGCCGCCAGAAGCCAGTGCACCCCGACGACGTGCCGCTACTGGTCTGCCTCGTCTGGGACGATAGCGGCGGGCGCGCGGGCGGCTTCCTGGCTTGCGCGCGCGAGGCCTTGCCTTTCGGCGCCTTCGGGGCCGCGTGGGGACGCGCGCGAGTAACCGCCAGCGTGGGGCGCCCTCTGGCGCATCTTCAGCGTGCCGCAGATCGCGCACGTGGATGATTTCCACCGCGCCTCGCTTGCCAGGTGGGCCGCCCTGCGCGAGTGGGCCCAGGAGCTGCATTCCATGCTCGGGACCCCGCCGAAGGAGGGCTAGAACCAGGGTCCAGCGGCTGTGCTGGACCTGTTCGGCCTGGGCGACCTCTCCACGCCGCGCTGGGCGGGCCCGCGCCTCGCCGCCATGCGCCGCGCCGCTTTGGCCGACGACGTGGGTGCCGCCCTGCGAGCACAACGCCTCAGCAAGCGCGACGCTGCCAGGCCGGGCAGGCAACGTGGCTTCGCCACCTCGGGGATGTTCGGCCGCGTCGGCCGCACTTGCGCCTCGCCCGTGTCCGCGCGCGCCGGCGGCTGGTCTGGCCGCCTTGCTCACGCGCTGTCATGGTGGAAAGCGTTGCTGCGATGCCCGCTGCGCCGCAAGCGCGGCCGCGGCGCGGACCGCCCCGATGTCGTTGGATGGGTCGACGGGTCCTCGGACATGGATGCCGGAACGGGCGCCATCGGGGGCGTGCCGTTGGCTGTTGTCCCCTCCTACAAGCGGTGGCCGCAGTTTCCCCGCGCGCACCCCGCCGCGCCTCTGCGCAGAGCTGCTCAAAGTCGGCAAGAGACAGCGGAACACCCAGTGCTCGCCGTGCTCGCCCTGCTGCTGACGTGCCCAGAGGTAGCGCGCGGCTCTCGGCTGGCCCCGTAGACCGCACCCCCCACTGGAAAACGTCCGCCGCGGCGCAGCCGGCGACGACGACAGCGCGGCCATCGCTGG